CCTCCTGAGTAATTCCCTCTCCTTCAACCCCTCCGCAATCCTCACCAAAGTCGGTTCCATTTTATCTCCCATGTACCTCCCCACTCTATGCATCTTCTTTTCCTCGGTCACCCTAACACAGATGCAGGAAGAGCCTCCTAAGTGGTCCAGCCTAGAGTAGCATTGGACTTCCTGAGGCTGGAAGGATGGAAGGACGGAGAAATGAAGTGGGCTACCAGGGCTGGTCAGCCTATTTTCCTGCTCAGTGCCCTTGATGGGATTGGCCCTGAGAACCAAGAACTTGGTGCTGACCAGGGTTTTTGAGGAGCATGCTCGGTTTGAGATGGACTGGAGTCCATCAAGGGCAGGAAAAAGAGACTAAAAATGAGGGGAGAATATGTATATAATGGTTATTTACCCCTTTGCCAATTCTGCTACTCTTTATTCTTGGGGGATCTGGATTTTCACCCGCTATCATTATCCCTGTCTGAAGAACTTCCTTTAACATCTCTTACAGCACAGATCCTTAACCTTAGTTTGTCAGAAAAGTCTTTAAAACTTAATTTTTGTGTAACACTTTTAGTAAGTGGGAAATGCTAGGTTGACAGTTTTGTTTTCGGCTCTCCTGTTGGCACTTTAAAGGTCTTGCTCCATTGTCCCGGGATGTCTATAGTTTCTCATGAAGAATCTTGTGTTATTTTTACTTTATGGGGCGGCTGGAGGTGGGGAGGACTTTTTTTTTTTTTTTTTCTTTCTTTTTCCTGAGAGAGCATCTTCCTGTGGCATGATCCTCAGCCTCTTGATGAGCTGGGACTATGGGCTTGCACCACCACACCTGGCTTTCTAGGATGGGCTAGAATCGAACCTGCACCTCCCATGTGACCTTGGCCTGCCGAGCCGCAGCGGTGCCCAGAGTATACCACCACAGCCGGGCCTCGCTTTTGTTCCTCTGCATATGCTTTGTCTTTGTTCTCTGATTGCTTTTAGGATATTCTCTTTATCATTGTTTTCCAACAAATTCCTTAAATATGCTTTGGTATTCTTTCAACCCTCTACTTAATGTATTCAATCTTTCTTCTTTTTGAATGTATGAAACATAGTTATATGGATGCTTTAAGGTCCTTGTCTGCTAATTCTATTATCTGTGTCATTTCCGGGGCTGCTTTTATTAATATGTTTTTCTCCTTTTTATTAATATTTTCCTGCTTCTTTGTAGGCCTGCTAAGTTTAATTAGATACTGTGAATTTTATACTGTTCAATCATGTATTCATTTAGAGTATTGTACTCTGTTCTGACACAGTATTAAGTTGTTGGAGATATCTGATCCTTTGGAGGCTTACTTTTAAGCTTTGTTAGGGTGAGTCCAGAGCAGCTTTTAGTCTAGAGTTCGTTTAGACCCACCACTAAGGTGAGACACTTCCGGGCACTCTACCCAATGCTCCATGTGTTACAAAGTGTTTTCATTCCAGCTGGTGGGAATAAAAACTATTTCTTGACTGTGATAGTTCCAAGAGTCGTTTGGTCCATGCCTTTCCAGTGATTCTTTCCTGGTGCATTCACAGATCAGTGCTCGAGCAAAGACCGTCCAAAGCTCCAGTACCTCATCCCTGTGCAATGCTCATCCAACACTTTCTCACAAATTCTAGACATCTCAGCTCCTTCTGTGTCCTCAATATGAAGAGATTGACAGGTTCCCCATGGATGAACTGCAGCCTGAACACTCTATCCATGCAAGAAGCTGGGGCAACCATTATTGTCCCATCACCTTTTCTCCCAGGGGTCACAGTCTGCTAGCCAGTGTCCCAAACAGGTTTTTATATATACCAGAGGTCTGGAAAAATGTCATAGAAAAATGCCTATTATGAAAAAGCTATGTATGAATTTCAACAAATTTTTGCACCAAAATAAACACGTACTTTTATTTTTCTGTAAACTTTTTGAAATACACACACACACGGACACACACACGTGTCTTTTATTTATTTAATTTTTTTTGACCTGGTTTTCTAGTTATTCATGGTGGGAGGACAGTTTCCGTAACAGCAATCCTCTGGACAGCCACACAAGTCCTTGCAGTGTAGTTTTACATTTGCTTCTCTGGGGTCCCAGACAGCGACCATTTTTCATGGAAATTCTTGCCTTGGGATTTCCACATCATGTGATACTGTGAATTTGTACTCTGCAGGCATGCAGTCCTGGTTTGAAGAACTCATTATATATTTTTTCTACCTAGAGCCACCCAGGCAGACGGTGATCTTCCACATAGCTGTTCTGTGTCAGTTGGGGATGTTTTTACTATTCCTTTTGGACTAAGCCTCTTGTGTGCATCCCAGCTTTGTGCAGGGAGCTCGGTACCAACTCCCACCTTGAACAATCCAAGTCCAAGTCTCTATTTTGTCATTGTATTTAAACTCTAGTCCCAGGCCTGAAAGCCTATGTCAGGTAAAATTAATATTTTCGCATTATGGAGTCGGTGCATATTTGATTTTTATGTAAGTGAAATGCTTTAGATAACTTGGCCTAATAACAGCTCAGTTTTATGCTTCTAACTTAAAATATTTAGTTGAATATGAGAACATTTAAGAGAATCCAAAATTTTCTACATGTTAATACTTAATTTTATAGGTAATTGAAGTAAGTGGAAAGTTTTTGTTTAAGTCAGAAAATAGTAGTACTTAAAATGGAAAGAAATGGTCAGCCTGTGGCAAGGGGATTATGACAGCTGGATCCCATATGGTCAACTGTACAGGTCAAGTCCCAGACTTAGCAGCTTGAAACTGTGAGGTACGTGTGTGTGTACATAATTCTTGAAAGGAGGGAGGAATGGAGGTGGATGTCTAACAGTACGACTGTGCTCAATGGGGGGTGTTTTCTCACTTCCCCTTTCTCTCTGTGTCCCTCTGGCAAGTGTACACAACTTCTGGCAGAAAACAACAACAACAACAACAACAAAAAGGAAATGTCTTAATTTATAAATGTAAGTTAATAAATGAAAGAGGATTTAGTTATGCTTTTTTTTTTTTTTGGCTATAGGTCATGTGTGCTTCCAGGAGAGACAGAGAGAGAGAGAAAAAGAGAGAGAGAGAGATAGAAGCAAGAAATCACCCCCTCGGGGTGGGAGAGATGGTCACTGCAATCCCTTCTCCATTATTTCAGGATTTTGGGCACGCACACACACACACCCAGTGTGAGTTTTAAGCCGCCAGATCTGGGACTTGAACTGTGGTCAACTATGTGGGAGCCCAGCCATGAAACCATTAGGCCATCTTCTGGTCCCTAAACATTAATTTTTTAATGGCTAGATTTTTTTAACTAGAAGAATGAGATCATAAAACTAAACTTAAAAGATTTAGGGAGATCAAGGTTTTAAAACTTGTCACTTGACTATATTACATACTAATTTTATAAAACCAGTGTAAACTCTGTAAATAGTCTTTTCTGTTTTCCAATATGATCATCTGTTTGCCAATACAGGTCACAGACCCATAAAGTCTTACTCGTCAAAAAATACTTTCAGAATCATTAAATCGATGGAGTCATCATTTCAGTTATATTTTCCCCTCTAAAAATGGCAGCTTTTTACCCAAGCCTTCAAATCATAATGTAGTGATCATTATAATGGCTGAAATAATTCTTATTTATTTATTTATTCTATGAGAGTGACAGAAGACAGAGAAACACCCCAACCAGGTATTGATGCTATGAAGCCCACCTGAAGCCATAGCCAGTCTGGATGTGTGTGCTTGGCATGTGCAGGGAGACCTTGGGATGTGAACTGGGAACCCTTCTGGAAGGGCATTGCAGAACATTGCGTCACCACTGCATCACCATAGCTGCCTTGAAATGCTTCCTGTAACTATTTCATTGAGAAATCTCAGCCAACGGAGCTCTGAATACAAAAGCCTTTTCTCTTGCTCATGGCTGGGTGCCATCAAGTCTCTGAGGAAGGGCAGACATCTTAGTGAGAGCACACTTTGACATCACACGTTTTTACCGAATTTCAAAATTTAGAACACATGGTTTTAACATTTTGTTTTCATTAGATTCAAAATCTTTACTTTCTCCTGAGTCTGGGCTCCAGGGGTGAACTGCAGGGCGGGAGGCAGACTCTGCTCACTCACACCTTACTTCTCCCATCGCCCTCTGCCTCTGGCTCTGAGGGTGACTTGGGGTTCTTTGGAGAGTCAGGGACTCCTCTTCAGCACACCCCTTGCACAGATCTGCCCTGCTCCACCCCTTTCTCCTCTCTCGAGCTCCCGCACAGTGTCTGCTCCGTGGCCCTTTCCTGCTGGGCCCACGTCCAGAAGTAGCCCTCTGGCTAGGGCTGTGGGCTGCTCACTGCCAGCCGCCTTCCTTGCCTTTGGCCTTCCTCGGGGTCTACGTGACCCTCATGTTCCTCGGGAGCTCATCTGCTTGCCCTGCCTCAGAGTGAGAGCACAGCCCCTTGGTCCCACCTGGCACCCACTGTCACAGCAGTAGCTTCGGGCACAGCCGGGCAAGTGAATTGGCGACAGCAGGGTGAGAGCTTATTTCCAGCTTTAGTGAGCGAGGACTCAGAGGAGCCTCTTCTGCGTAGGGTGTCTCTGGTCCTGCCCCCAACCCTTGGCAGGAAGAAGGAAGAGGAAAACCACCATTGCTGTTTTTCTCCTCTGTGTGTGTTTGTCCTGCAGGTCTCTGAGGGTTCTTCAGCACCTCGTTCTTAGTGGTGTGCCCTCAGTAACCAGTGCTGGCGTGAGGCGCCTCCCGCCTTATCACTCTTTAACTGACTCATTCCATTCAAGTACCTTGGGCATCTCAACGACTAGCTGGCTGCCAAATATGCAGTGACGGTGTAACTTCATACCTCTGAACCTCACTGACCTCGGACGGCTTGTCTGGTCAGGTTAGGAAGGTACTGCTTTAACCAAAAGAAACTAAAATCAGAAAGTGTGCGACAACAATTATAGAGAAAGACGAAGGAATTGCCATCCAACTGAGCAGCGATCTAGCAGGAATTAGAGAAACACTAACGCAGAAGAGCAAGGGTGTGAGATCTGTTTATTCATACCCAGGAGGTTCCAAACCACAGGCCTGCCAACACAAGTGTGCACATCAGGGTGGAAACAGCACACGAAATACACCATTGGGCTTAACAACCAGTCTCGGTATTGACAAGATTGCTGAAGTATAAGGCAATCCCAGAGAACTTCCTCGCAGAAGCCCATCAAAACTCAACTCTGTCCCACACACATTCTTCTGCTCCCTGGCCAACATTCAATGTCCCTCCAACTTTATTCTGGTCTTTTCCTTGAAACCATTCCTAGTATTTGTGTTACTGATGGTATTTTCTTAACACATAATTTATAGATAAAGAAAAAACTATTAAAGTGTTGGTGCTCTTTTTTAAAAAGATGAATAAAAGATTTGATAATTTTCCCCTAAATCCCCATCAAGTAGGGAATGGAAAGCACAAAAACCTCCTCACTATGAACCCAAACCATTCACACACAAGTAGCCCACATCGGCTCAGCTGGTCTGGACCCTCCTTGCATCCCCTCCAACAGACTCTGGTCACTTGGACTTGCTGCCTTTCTGGGACTCCGAGGCGGCCTTCCTCGCCTCCTCCTCTGGGATGAACACGCTGACAGTAAAGTCGCTTGTCTCTGTGCCATACTTGTTCTTGACAACCAGCCCATATTTGCCAGAGTCAGAGGTGGTCACCCCGGTGATGGTGAAGTAAGCGGTCTTCCCAGACTCAAACTTCAGGCTGCAGTGGTCATCGGAGGCCAAAGACTTCTCGTTCTTCAACCAGGAGACCTCTGGAGTCGGGTCACCCCACACGTTGCAAGTGAGATTAAGGGCCTGTAAGACAGGTTTTATGGGAGGGAAGGCGATATGTCAGATATAATGATCCAGTTTCAAGGATCTTGCTGGTTGGTGGTTTGGCATAATTGGATGAAGGCTAAATATACACCTTCCAGACCAGGGCTTAATGTAGTTGCATGTGTGTACCTGTGTGAGTCACCGTTTGAAGTAATACCTGAGTAGGTTTCTTTAGGGCTCAGGCTTCTGGCCTTTGGAATGCTTATCATCAGAAACACTTGAAGGAGCTTACTTTCATCCCGTCTCCATTTTCTCTTTCATAAACACTTAGATGCCTTTGCTCTAATGGGGCCTTTAGGGCTCTGTCTCGTAGAGAGTAATCAGCACCTGCTCACTTTTGCATTTCATTTGCGTCACAGAGCCCGCAGCAGAGTCCTGACAGTTGCTTCAGATAATGTAGCTAGCTTTCAAATTCCATCTTCCTCATCTTACTGCTCTCCCTAAGTCCCATCCGATCTGCTGCAGTTGCAGAGATTCTCTCCCAAAATGTGCTCCTAAATGGAATATCCCTATCCGTGCTGGAACCCCCATGTTCTAAAAGATCAATATTTAGGTCTACAGTTTTATACTACTTCTTTAGTGAAAAAAAATTAGAAATTGTAGATCCATGTTTAGTTGTAATAAGAAATAATAGAGATCCTGTGTACCCTTAACCGAGTTTCCCCTGGTGGTAACATTTTACAGAACCGGAGTACGATATCACGATTAGTACTCTGACGCACTGGTCTAATTTAGAGTTCCTCAGTTTTTCTCATACTTACTGGTTTTCTTATGTATGCTTCATTCTATTTCATTTCATGACCTAGGCAGGTTCATGTATCCAGCACTACAGCCAAAATGGGAATATTTCCATGGACACAGGGATCCCTTGTGCTGCCCTTTTATAAACACCCCCTTCCCCACTCCATCTTCCTAACTGGCAACCACCAGTATATTTTCCATTTCTAAAATTTTGCCATTTCAAAGACATTACTTAAATAGAATCATACAGTATGTAACCATCGAGGATTGCCTTTTTCACTTATCGTATTTCCTTGCAAATTCATTCCAGCTGTTGCATGTATTAACAGTTTGTCCCTTTTATTGACTAGTAGAGTCCATGGTGTTCATACATACATATATATGTATATATATACACACATATGCGCCTGTAAAGGTGAGGTCTGGGCTGTTTTCGGTTTGGGACTATTATGAATACAGCTGTTTGAACATTTGTGTACAGGTTTTACGTGAGCATAAGTTTTCATTTCTCTGGGATAAATGCCGAGGGGTGCAATTACTAGGCTATACGGTAAATGCACGTTTCATTCTTTCCAAAATTGCCAAACCATCTTCCTAAATGTGCAATTTTGGTTTCCATTTCCACTAGCAATGCACAAGTGATTCAGCGTCTCCGCATCCTCATCAGCATTTGTGGTTGGAGATTTTTGTTGCTGTGTATTATTTTTTATTATAGCAATTTCAATAGGTGTGTCATGATACTTCAATTTGATTTTAGTTTTCATTTCCATAGTGGCTGACAATGTGGGCTTTTCTTCACATTTTAAATTCCAACCTTACATTTACTTTTTCTTACTGAAATCCAAAAATAAGGAAAGAACTAGAGCTCACGACATTCAGGGAAAGGGATGTAAGGGGTCTTATTTGGTGACTTATATGGTGAATTCTGCAGAAAAATCATTTAAAAATTTGCTAAAGAACTCTGTTTTTTCCGAATATTAATTAATATTTCTTACTGAGTTTTTCTCAAGGAAAATATGAATCGAATTACTGTGATTAAACTTATCCAAACAGACCAGGCATATGACTTTTGGAAATTGTGATTACTTGGGGTTAAAAATTCTTAACAAAGTTGAAAAACGTTTGAATAACTTAGGCAACAAGAAAAAATGCATCCGTAGTTTAGATTTGTTTCATTGCTTACAAAGCACTTTCATATATATGCACTCTCTTAATTCTCACTATGACCCAGGGAGTTGCATATTTTTAGCCTCAAATGTGAGGAAAATGGAAAGAGAGTTTAAGAACAAAAGCAACCTTGCAATGGTTGAGCTGAAAGTCAACTGTGAGTGTATTTTCTACTCACCAAGAAATACGGCTGACTGAAACCTACCTCTCACTAAGGCGTTTTGATAGGCCTTGCTTCGTACTCAAGTTTCAAACACGCATTGTACGTCTTCACTGCCCTTTGAAGTGGGAAAAGTTTTTTTTTCCCCCCTCTAAAAATATCTCTATCCCTAGGACTGGTATATTAAACTTATTTTTAATGAAACATAAGGATAAAAGGCGTGAATCCAGGTTAGAAATTATGTTCATATCCTTTCAGATTATTGTGCAACCAAGAAACATCAGTTTAAAACCAAGTGGAAAGAAATACATTTTCCACAGAAATAGGTCCTACGGAAGTTCACAGGGCAGCCTGTTCCCCTTCAAAGGTGAGGCACTTAACGGTATAGTCCATCTCCTACTATGTGTTAGAGGTCGTTTCTTTCTCCAGTTACATTTGTTATAGAGCTATGGTTGAACGTTTCCAGTTTCTTGTGTGTGTGTATTTTTTAAGAGAGATTTTTGCTATCGGGGGCGTGCGCTTGCCAGAGAGACAGAAAATGAGAAGTCACCCCCCAGGGGAATGGCCATGCCACAATCCCTTCTACTCCATTGTCCTCTTGGGATTTTTGACATGCACACGCATATGCCTAGTGTGAGTTTTAAGTCACTAGGTCTGGGACTCGAACCACGGTCAACAACGTGGGAGTCTAGTGATGTAACCATGGTGCCATCTGCTGATTCCCAGTTTCTTGTGATTTTAAAAGGTGTTTCTGGAAAGATACTATGACTTTTATGTGTGCACATGAGACAAATGTGTATGCTGATGCTTGGCTTACAGAACATTAAGATGACTGGAAAACTGACTGCATTTATAACCTCTTCTGGGTATTCCAACCAGATTCAAGCAGCCATGGAAGAAGATGAAGATGGTGGGATATTGAGTGACTCTTAGAAGAACCAAGTCTAGGATGCTGAGCTGTCCCTAATATGGAAGAAGATCTGTCCCTAATCTCTCTCTCTCTCTTTTTTTTTTTTTTTTTTGCGGGGTTTTTCTTTTTAGGGGGGTGCCC